TGAAATCAGGAGGTAGCTTTCCTGGCCCTTGGGGGTTAAGTCCTGCTCTTTTGTGGCATGGCTGCTGAGGTGGGTCAGAAAACTGCTATCTGGAAGATGAACGTCCCTGCTAGAGAACAGGGTCTGTGCAGGGCTGGAGGGGAAGAGCTCTGAGAGATGGTGTGTAGTGCTTTGAAAGAGCTGAGTGAAAGCATGGCTGCTCAGGTGGGTGAGGGAGAGAACAGTAGTGCTAACTAATCCGAGATGACGATTCCTGGTGGTTTAGGCCTAATGCTTTGCCCTCATCCTCAACCTGCAGGAATTGCTGTTAATCCGGAATCATGCCTCCATAGCCTCGAGCATGCGTGTGTGCGTGTGTGTGTGTGTGTGTGTGTGCGTGCGTGTGTGTTTTCTCTCCTGGCCTCCCCCTTCACACCATGTATTCATGCAGGTGCAGACAAAACAGGGTGCATTGATAAGGAGAGACATTTCTGGGGTGCAGATGGGTTTAGAAGATGAGCCGCTTTGCTGGAGTTCATGGAGTGCTGCCCCTGCCCCCCAGGCCTGAGGCTGTCTCCATGAACGAGAAGCAGGAATGTGGCAGACAGGAGTGGGGAATCATAGGACATGACGGTCCAGGAGAACTTTAAAAATGGACACGGGGGTGGGAGGGAGGCCAGGCTCCTCGTGCACTGTTCCTCCTGACCCTGGAGGCGTGGGAAAGCTGGAACTCAACTTCCTCAGGCAGAACAGACTCAGGAGCAGACACCTTCGGGCCTGCCTGCCCGTGTTTGTCTTGGCTGAGGGCTTCACGGGGCTTTTTGAAGCCGATTCCCACCAGGGCAGATCTAGAGGAATCAGGACATAGATCACAGAGGAGGGAGCTGAAGGGGCCTGCGGTGGGGAAGTAGAGGTGGTCCTCCCTTGAGCGGTGTGAGTGCAAAGCCTGATTGGCTACTCAATCCGGGAACCACAGAGGGACAGGACCTGATCTGACACCCTCCAGGACATGCGAGTTCTCAAAGGCACCCAGCCCTGTGCCTGGGGTGTGGCTCTGTGCTTCAAGATACACACTGAACCTTCCAGTGTCCAGGGTCTCTGACAAAAAGCCTAGGCCTCCCTGGACTGTACCCCACCCCTCCCAGAGCCCATAATTCCCAATCTTGACTCAGTGCCAACCCCCTACCACCATCAACTCAGTCTGGACACTCCCAGGTCCTGTTCCACACAGATGCTGGTGGGTCACGTGTCCCCCAGCTGAAGGCCTCCCCCATCCGCCTCCACCATCTGCTGAGGCCCCATAATTATTCCAAGGCTCCGTGCAGCCTCACTTGGAGGGAAGAGCTCATGTAGCCTTGTAATGTAAGCCAGGCCCGAGGCCACTCAGGCAGGGGGTCCCCAGCTGGGTAATGAGCCTTTCGCTGAGGTGGCCTGGCCCGTCCGTCCATCTAAACACCTCATGGAGGACAGCGTCTCCTCTGCATCCCCATTCATGCTCTCCAGATGCTTCCAAACACAGGGCCTGAGGGCTGCCTTGGCCTGGCTTTCCACTTAGGACTATGTGGACGCCCCACCTGGGGACTAGCCACGGAGGAAGAGGCCGGCCCGCTGCTCTCTTTGCTGGGGTTGTCTTTCTAAAGGAGTCAGTCGGTTTCCCCCCTCCCCTCCTAAAGCTGCTAAGTTACCCTCATCTCCCCTTCCTGGAGCCTGGGCCCCACAAAGGGGAGCGGGTTGGCCGGGGAGGCCAGCGCTCTGAGCCAGGCCTCACTGTGAGAGGTGTAAGATGCTGTCTTCTCTGCTCTTGCAGACTGCTGCTCAGTCTCCAGCCCCTCCCGCTGTCATCCTTGTAACATCAACCCCAAGCAGGGCGAGGACCACCTCCTCAACCCCATATTCTCTGGGCTTATCGTTTTGGCATGCTTGTTTTCCGGGTGCAGACTGTGAACACACCATTATGGATCTCTGTGTGTGCAGAACCCATACTGGCTTGTGTGTTGGGCGTCTGGGTCTTTGGGTCTCCCGAAGCGGTGTGTGGTGCTGCTGAGGTGTAGGGTGGGGTTGGCTAATTTGGGTGATAGTGTCAGCTGTGTTGTCCTGTCAAGATCCCACAGGCTCAGGACACACACAGGGTGAACCTAAGTTCAAGGATCACCCAGAGTTCACTGACAGAGTGAGGGTGGCCTCCTGCCAGCCTCTGAGCCTCAGTGCCTCTGAGCGGGTTCCGAGCTCACCCGGAAGAGCGTGAGGAGCAGAGTGGTGGAAGGGGTTCTTCCAGCACAGATCAGAGCCTAGCACTCGCTCTTCACCTCTCACACTCGGTGTGATTGTGTGGTTGAGAACCCCCCCCCGCCCCGTCCTTGGGAAAGAGTGATGTCAGCAATGAGACACCCAGAGGCCAGGCCTCTCCCCGGCAGCTTAGACCAACATCCACCCCTAGTGAGGAACTGGGTGCAGAGTGGGACTGGGTGGCCGGAACCTCCTTCCTTGGGTGTGAGGGAGTCACAGAGAGGCTTGGGGGACGGGGAATTTGAGAATAGCTTAGCAGCAAGCTTCAGGGGAAAGGCAGAGACAGGGAGGCCTTGGCAGGAGTGGAAAGCTCGCTGGGCAGTGTGGTACAATGAGTCCTAGCGTGGGTCACGTAGCAAGGGAGGGCCCCAGCCACGGTTTTCCTGGCCGGGGGACTACTTGGCAAGCCAAGCCTGACTTTCTTGGACAACTCCCGGGGCTGCAAGGAGGGTCACCTTTTCCCACTGACCCTGAAAATGGGGGCCAGATAGACACGTCTCTATCATTCCCCCCATCTCCCTGGAACCCTCTCATGGCCA